GAGCATCCCAGTTCAAGCCCATCACACAGATGGGGAAGTCATCACTCCGAGGGGTCCAGGAGCTGACATTACAGCAGGCCAGATGCGGGGCCTGACTTCTTGCTCAGCGCACACTCGCAAACTCCTGGGAAACTTGCTCCAGAGCCTCAGGTTCAGATATGCCCAGAGCCGACTGCAGACAGCTGCGTCTTGCCACCTCCCACCATGATCCTCACTGCCTCTGTGATGCCAGGAATGCCAGGCTCCCGCTTGGAGGCAGTTCAGACCAAGTTCAGAGCCTCTGTTCCCTGTTGGACTGGCTGGTCTTAGTATGGACACTACACTTGTTGAAAAGTGGGCTAAAGGCTCTGGGTTAGATCCAGAGCAAGATTTGAGAATTTCAAACCTGAAAACTGCACCATCGTAAATTCTTTAGCTGGGGTCACAGCGTTCAGCTCGTTTGCGTTGGTTGACAGGTAGATGGCAGATCCAGGGTTTGATTAGCAGCTGCGTCCACCTCTTTCCAGGCTGGCATTTGGGATGTTTTAGGTCTTACTCAGCTAGTTATTTTGCTTTCTCTTTTGGTATTATTATTATCTACTTTTTTGATTTTTTTTTTTAAAGGGCAAGCGAGACAGTTTTATCTGGAAAGGAAAGCTATTTTAGGCCTTGGGCATTAACAGTCGCCTTGCTGTCCTCAGAGAAAACCATGTAACAGATGTGGAAGCTGTCGTGCCTGCTCACTACCCTCTTGTGAAATCTAACTGGTGGGAGCTGACGGTGCTCTTAGCTGCCACTCGCTGTCTGAGGTTAGTGTGTGTGAGACGAAAGGTCCCGGCCCAGTGGTAACAGTGGAGCAGCATTTATTTTCTTTTCTTTCTGACTAAAGCCTCCTGCTGCCGGTTTGGGGAGATGCCTCTGTCGACATCTCCCATAGGGGTTCATGAAGGGAGCAGGATGCTGTTTCGTGTCTGCCTGGAGGCATAGAGGGCAATTTGACCTGAAATTTGCAATTAAGTTGTTAGGCAGAGGGCAGACCTGCTGTCGGTGCAGACGGAGGGGATGTGGGGAGCACCGGGGTAGCGGGCTGCCCTTCCAGTGGTGGGAGTCTGGCGGCTGTGGACTCGCTTTATCTTCAGCATCCCGGGAGCTCACAGGATGCGTGCCTCCACCTCCTGCCAGACCTGCTTGAGTTGCCCCCTCTCCAGCTCGCCTCCCTGCAAGATCGCTTGGGGAATGCTTGGGGTTTGTTGGAGAAGCAGGTCCCTGGCTTGGGGTCCCTCTCTGAGCGAGGGAGGTGACAGGTCAGATGCAGCCCCTGAGACCCTTTTCCCGAACCTGGTGTCCTTCTCTGCGGGCTGTTCTCTCCAGGGCTGGCCACTCAGGCAGGAGACTGTCCCCCGAGGAGGCCGGGCTGCCGTCTGTGACAGGATGTGACCATCTCAGAATGATTGGGGTGGAACTCGTTTACATTTCTTGGCCATTTGGCTGAAAACTGATTTCTTGGCAAAGGCCACTGTGTTTTACATAAACACACGGGTGGGTGTGTCATGCCTTCAACTCATGCTCCAAAGACCCTGAGCCAAACGTTCTTCATTTCCATTGTGCCAAAGTTTCCCTTGTGTCCGAGTGGCACCTGCCCATGACGCTTTCTCTGAGTACTGTGCTTAAACACGTGCAGTGAAGTGCCAAGTTTGGCCAGAACACCGGATTTCCTCACTGACAGGTTAATGCCCGTTGAGATGTTGAGCTGACGGTAAACGCACACAGCTGTAGTGAGGCTTGAAAGCCGCTGTGACTGCTCTTGGCAGTGAAGCGCAGGCGTTGCTTCCTGCTGTCGCTTCTGCTTGCCTGCAGTCCTTGGAGCAGAGGGAATGCCAGCTCTCGGTCAGAGGATGCTGGGAACAGATACTCCCCCTCTCCCGGTTCAAGGCCACGGACTCCTGCGTTCTGCCCCACTGTGGTCAGCGGGGGCCTCTGGACCCTGGACTAGAAACTGGGACCGTGACAGCCCGGCCAGGGGCTGCTGGCAGGACGGGCTGGGGGCTCGGTGCTCCGCCCGATGGGGGAGCCCTCGGTGGGTTGAGGGGCAGGGGATCGGGTGCAGGATGCTGGGGCTGACGCGTTGGTGTCACCTGGGGAGCGTGCACGCAGACAGCTGAGCTGTGTAGGCACGAGGTCGGGACAGGGGGACGTCCATTCTCTGCCGACGCTGACCGGGTGTCTTCTCATCTGCGTCCGGTGTGTGGGCGGACGATCCCACCCTGACCCACCTTCCCTGGAGCTTTGCCTGCCATCTACCTCTTCCACGCACCCTGTCCTTCCAGGAGGAAATGGGTGGGGAGGTCCGGCAGGCGCAGAGAGGCTGGGGTGCTTTGGGGGGTGGGGGTCAGAGCCCGGAGGCTCCGGGAGGAGGGACTGCCTGGGGGCCTCTGGTTCCCTGCTGGCCTGGGTGTTACAGCTGAACTTTGACCTGAGAGGTTCACATCCCCCTGAGACCTGTGGGGGCTGGGGCGGGATGGGCAGGGCCAGGCGGCGTTGGTGCTGCCGCACCCCGCACACCCCAGCGAGGAATGAAGGCAGACTCCGGGCCCTGTTCTTGCTGAGTTCAGAGTCCAGCTCGGAGCAGGTGTGTCAGGATGTTCTGAAGGATGGCGAGCCCCACAGACAGCAGGGAGTGTGGGCAAGCGGTCCAGGGTCCTCTCCTGGGCTCCTCCGTGGGGGGCGGGACACGCCCAGAGAGGTCTCCCTGTTACGGAGTCCACCCTCGGGCTGCTCGCTGTGTGACAGGCCAGTAAATCGAGGGATGGGTTGTTGGGGCTAGGAGTAGCCACTCTGCTCGGACAGCCAGCAGACCGAGAATGTGGTCGACTATCGTCCCCAAGACCCACCTTCCCCGAGCTGCAATCCAGTTTCTTCTAGAACGGCAGGGGCCAGGCTGGTTGATGCCAGCTTCTCCATGCTGGGGCCCCTGGTTCTGGCCATTGTCTGCAGGTCCGGTGCCGCCTCTGACAAGACAATCGTTATTTTTCTGTTCTGCAACCATTTATCTCAAGATGAATGGAAATGAGTTATACCTTCGAAGGCCAGAGCTGGGAGAATGCACATTCCAGCATATTCCAGGCGGCAGGCAGCGTTCTTTTACGGAAGGTGCTGAGCCAGCGTGACTCAGCTGAGGGTCACGGCGCGAGGGTCGGCGCTACAGGAACAGGCCCGGTGCGCAGAGTCCGGCTTGCCCATCCTGCTCCACACACAGGCCCAGGGGTGGGTGGCAGGTCTCTCTCCGCCCGTGCAGGGGGGCCTGGGACGCCTTCCGGAAGGGGCCCCTCCTGCATTTAGGGGCTGCCCTTCATGCACTCTGAGCCATCTGCCCGTCCTGAACGAGGAAGAAGGGGAACCGGGGGGCGTTTGGGAAAACCCGGGGATGAATACGGTCCCAATGTGGATGCTGGGGTCCCCGGTGTGAGGGGTGCTGTCTTGCCGCCATCTGTGGTCTGGGCCTCTCGCATCCAGCGCTTCTGGAGATCTGACATGGGAGAATGCAGGGAGTCAAGTGGGACGGAATTTCAGTTCTTCAGGGCTTTGACGCATCAGGGTTTCGGTCTCCCCTGTTCCCTTGCCTCCTCCCCCCTCCCCTCCCCTCCCCTCATCTGTCCTCACCCCCTCACTTCCCCCATCACTGCGCTCCCCCTGTGTCTGCAGTTCAGTAAAGGCGGGAGTTGAGATGGGGGCAGGGTGTCATCTTAGCCTCTGACATGAATGAGGCTCCACCACCCAGCACATCAGACCAAGCTGGTACAAAACCAAGAAATCTTACATAAGAAAACACCCTGCTTTTCCTTTTTCTAAACAATCTGGAGGGATTTTTGTGGCTTCACATGCACAGCGAGCTTAATCGCCCTGAGTGTCGTTGTGCAGATGGGTGTCTGTCAGCCATGTAACTGAGGCCCCCGCTCAGGGTTGTGCTGAATGCGCCAGGGCTCAGGGGGACCTGAAGGGGGGGCCAGGGACCCCCTGGAAAGTCACAGCAGAAGCCCTCGGGGGTGCCCACCCTCCCCCAGAGGACCAGAGAGGAGGTCTGCCCACGGGAGAGCCTTGCTGTGCTCTGGCTGTGACTGCCCAGCTCAGAAAACACCCTGAAAACTGAAAAGGCAAAGAGAGCCTCGGGCTGGGTGAGGCTCTCTGGGCTCCTGGGGTCCAGCATTGTGTCCTGGCGTCTGGTCCTCTTTGGACCTCCGTGCCCCTTGGGGGCTGCCCCCTGGGGCTCCTGCAGCCCTGATGGGTGCCCGTGGGCAGGGGAGGGGGTAGACAGGAGGTGTGAGGGACCCGGGACCTACTCCCCCCGCTGCCACCGCCCGCTCCCGGCAGGAGGGCACAGGCTTCGGGGCGGGCCCGTCCGCGGCGGGGAGACATCCCTGCCTGCATTGCGTGTGGTGTGCACGGCAGCACCCGGCTTGGCTCGAAGCCCGAGTTGCCCTCTTTTCCCTACAGGAGAGCGTGTTTCCTTAGTGTGTGCGTTCCGAGCTCCTCCTCTGGGAGGCCTGCAGCCTGGGGCGGTGGTCGCAGAGGCGGGGCAGGGCCTGGGGCTCTGGGGGCTGAGCGAGCCCTCTGGGGCCGGGGTAGGCGGGCAGGCCGGGGAGGCTGAAGGCCCCGCCTGGAGGCGGTCCCGACTGCGTCATCCAGAAGCCAGACCCTGGTGGGAGTGTTTCATCTAAGCACCCAGGACTAAGATGCAGGAATAGGAGCCCCCGCCACCCGTGAGGGGGAGAGCAGGGCGCGGGTGTCCGCCTTGTTTTGTGGGCTCACTGCCGTGGGTGGACACGACTGTGCGGGAGCTGCTGGCTTGGGGGCCGGCCGTCACCCCGTCTCTGCACAGCAGGCTCTCCATCTGGTTCAGCTGCAGCCGTGCCGACTCTTGGGGTCACGATTCCATCCATGGTCCCTCCCGGGGGTCCCTTGTGCACAGTCAGGGGGCGCCTCCAGTCAGGAGAGATAACCAGCCGCTTTCTCTCCCCTCGCAGGGCGGGAGCAGTTCCACGGCCTGGGCTCCATGTACTGTCGGGGGGCGGTTGCGGTCATCCTCACCTACGACGTGAACCACGCCCAGAGCCTGCTCGAGCTGGAGGACCGGTTCCTGGGCCTGACAGACACGGCCAGTGCCGACTGCCTCTTCGCCGTCGTGGGCAACAAGGTGGACCTGAGTGAGGAGGCGCCTGGGGAGGGCGGCCAGGGAGGAGGACACGGTTCCGGGCAGGCAGGCGGCGGCGGCTGCCCGGCCCCCCGGCTGTCCAAGCAGGTGCAGCTGGAGGACGCAGTGGCCTTTTACAAGAAGATCCTCAAGTACAAGATGCTGGACGAGAAGGACGTGCCGGCTGCTGAGCAGATGTGCTTCGAGACGAGCGCCAAGACCGGCAAGAACGTGGACCTGCTGTTTGAGACGGTGTTCGACATGGTGGTGCCCGTGATCCTGCGGCAGAGGGCCCAGGGCCCGCCGCAGACCGTGGACGTCGCCAGCGCCCCGCCGCCTGCACGGACCAGATCCGGGTGCTGCTCCTGACGCGCCCCGGCCCGGCCCCGGGGACCCGGGTGGCCCGAGGAGCCGATCGGGGGTCACTCTGTAGGACTGCACGCGGAGGAGGGGCCGGGAGGAGGCGCCAGCCAGTCCCCGAGACGAGGGCCGTGTGACCGGGCCTCCACATCCATCGCTGCCCGGGGAGGTGGGGAGCAGACGGATCGTCCGGAGGAGCCACCTGCAGAGCCAGCGTCCCCTCGCTGCCCCGTCCTAACACCTGGCCTCTGACACGTATCCCCCGGTCTCCCCGCCTGCGTGACCCTCCAAGGCTCCTCTTCACTGTGATTTACCTTTGATCCAGCCATTCGGTACTTGTGTCTTGATGCCTCGTAACGATTCTTGACAAATGTTAATTTATATAAAATCAGGAATCGCTGTTTTTATAATGTTTGCAGCATTGTGAGCCACTTTATTATTAAAATTATTTTAAGAAGAACCTTGGTTTACACCTATTTGTGCCCCCGTGGCCTTTAACGTCTGTCACACGGACCTGTAGTTTCTCACCTGGACTGTGGGTGAAGCACGACCTCACACTTCGGCAGCATCCGGGACAAAATTCTTACCCAGCTCCTCGTTGGGCTTCTTGGTAAAGAGTCTGCCTGGGTGGGGAAGATCCCCTGAAGGAGGAAATGGCAGCCCACTCCAGGGTTCCTGCCTGGAGAATCCCATGGACAGAGGAGCCTGGTGGGCTGCAGTCCATGGGTCACAGAGAGTCAGACAGAACTTGTGACTAAACAAAAACAGCAGCAACAACAGAGTCTCATTGCCTCTGCAGAACAGAGGCCAGCTGGCCTGCACGTCCCCAGGCCAGTGTCCAGGAGGCATTGACACAAGGAAGACCCCCCACCCCGCCCGCACACACACGAGTCATCATATCTGTGATTTTTCTTCTCCTTCACTAAAAAAAAAATACACTGTCACTCATTTCAAATTTAGTACTCAAACCACCTTGGGAAACGTAAATTGTCCACTTACACATATTATCTGCCTTTGTTCAGATCATAGGACTAAGAATCATGGAGATATTCCATCTAAACATATAAATAAACCCCCCAAGTGTGTCAAGCAGAAGTTAGCAGGCTTGACACCAAACTCGAACGATGGTGTGCACGCCAGCTCTCTGCAGGCCCTTCCACGCACAGGAGTGGGTTTAATGCTCAGGACGCCACCGTGGCCTGCGGGGTGTCTGTCTCGGCTCCCCCGAGGGCCGCCCGCGGGGTGTCTGTCTCGGCTCCCCCGAGGGCCGCCCGCGGGGTCTCTGTCTCGGCTCCCCCGAGGGCCGCCCGCCCTGAGCTCAGACCTGCTCTGGCGTCCTCCCGACCGGCTCTTCTTGGGCGTGGGAGCCGCAGCAATCCTCCCGGGCTCAGCCTGGCTCTCGGCGCCCCTCCAACCGGCCAGGGTGCATCCAGAGGCGTCTCATGGTTTCATGGGAGTCTGGGCGCCGTCTGTGGCAGGGGTGGGACAGCCACCTTGGTGACTGTGACCTCAGGGCGCCCACTCGCTCTCCCCGCAAAGTGGGGACAGTGTTGGCCACTCAAGGACCCTTAGCTTCCGGGCTAGTGGTTGTTCTTAGCCCTGAAAAACTAGACCAGAGAAATCGCATGCAGCATGCTCTGGTCTGTGAAGGGCAGCTTGAACTTTCAAGGTTCAGAAGCTTGGCTGTTTGACTTCAGACCAGGAATCTTCACCTGTGATAGCGACACTTGTGCGGAATCCTGGGCTCATGCACACAGACAGAGACGGATTATCTGTCTGTACTTGGTTTATATTTTCTGGTTTACAGTTTGGCGTCCAGTTATGTATTGAGAACCTGGTCTTGGTCTTCTTTCCTTAAGTGTTTCAGGCGTGAAGTCCAGGACTTTCCGGTGTTTAATGCTGGGCACCTAATGCCCTGGGAACCACACGGAGGCGAAGCTAAGCCATAGGAGACCATGGGTGTGAAACTTTTGCAAACTGTGAAACAGTATAGAATCTAAAGAATCCTTCATTCAATTAAAAGGAGAGGCTAGACCAAATCGAGCAGGAATCTTCAGGGCTGTGACAAGTGTCATGACCACCCCGCGATCTCGGGGACTGGGGTCTGGCAAGAGCAGCTGCCCCGTCAGCCTCCTGTGCGGGCATCTTTCAGGCCCCAGCCTTGGCCTCTAAGGGCTCAGCGTCCCACTATAACTGTTGCTATGGAAACCAGCTGCGCACAGGTGGAGCCTACCGTAACTCCCATCACCTTCACCTGGTTCTCTGTCGCCTCCCCTGGGATGCTCAGAGCCCGCTCAGCACCCCTGAACCTGTGACCCAGCCTGGCCCCTGGGGGTAAGAGCTGGAAGTGGAAAATGTGCCTTGCCCCATCAGTGGTCCTTGTGTGGGCCTTCCCCAGCATGGGGGCGGGGCGTGGACTGAGCCCCGAGCCCTGTAGTGAGGCACCCTCCTTCTGCCCAGCCCCGCTTCCCCACCGAGAGTCACGCCCTCACTTAACCCTCGGGCACACGGTCCTTGGCTCGGGCAGCACCGGGGAAGGCAGGCCAGCCCGGGGCTGATTGTGTTCAAATAACTTCATCACGTGGAATGCTTACTTTGTGACTGTACAGATTGATCTCAGAGAAGGTCTAATGTGAGACTGAGTTCTGAGCTGGGTGCCCAGGCGTCAGCCAGGCTCCGGAGGAACTGAAGGCAGAAATGTGTCTTGGAGATTTGATTTCTGGGATTTGATTTGGGATGTTATGCCGGGGCGCACTGAATGACTTTGGCAGCGTGTTTAGAGGTACCTCCCTCCTAACGCCTGAGAGTGCAGGTTGGGAGTGTTTTCTGTAAACATCACCACATTGTAAACACAAATACAGTTCCCTGAGGGGCCAATGATGATACTGCAGGCTTGGGTTCAGTCTGCTGAGACCTGGAAAATACAACAGCACGGAGCTGGGCCGGGATGCAGGTTCCCGGTTCAGCGCAAATTTCGTGCCCTACGAACTTGAGAAAATCAGGCAGGCAACAAAGTGGGGTATAAAAATGTTTTAAAGTAACTTTTATTCTGGGCTGGTTACAGAGGAGGCGGTAGTCAGAGGGGTGCAGCTCAGCGCACAGAGGGGGAGTGGATCTTCAGGCCGGCCCAGGCGGCGGGGGCGTCTCTGCCTGCCGCACGGAGTCTGCCGACTCGCTGCGGAAGGCGGACGGCGGGGAGATCTGGAAGGCCCTGGTGGGGAGCGCGATGGCCGGGGCGCCGACAGCAGCGGCTTTTCAGACACAAGGAGGCGCAGTCGGCCTTCCCGGGGGACGAGGGTCCTTCACGCCACCGGCACGTTCGAGAGGACGGTGCGCGTCCTGGGGCCTCAGGGAGCGGGGCCCGGGCCCTCCCCCGAGAGCCCGCGGGCTGAGCGGCCTCATCCGTCCACACCCCCCTTAAGTGAGTTCAGAAAACGGGTTAACAGCGGTGGCTGGGAGCGCGGTGAGTACACGGGTGCGCAGCAGGACGTCAGCGACGCCGAGCGAGGGGCAGTCCGGGACGGCCTGAGCGGGAGGTGGACCGCCTCCCGTGCTGGGGGGACAGGGTGTCCTGCAGACCTGGGGGAAGCAGGCAGCGCCTGCAGGGGACAAGGGCCTATCTGGTCCAAGTGCTGGTGCTGAATTCCTTTGGTAACCTTTTTCTCTTTTTGGTTTATTTTTTAAAGAAAAAAAAAAAAAGCAGTCAATTTAGGGGTCGGCGTCTGAGGTAATAAGTTAAGAAAAGCACCAAAGTGGCCCCGGACTGCACGGGCCTGGAGAAGGGGCGTGCCCGGGGCGTGTCCGGCCGGTGCCCGCTCACAGGTTCTTCATGCACACCTGGCAACGGCTGATGTGCGTGCGGATGAGGCCGGCCTTGAGCGTGTCGGCCGAGGGCGTGCCCTGGAAGGTCTGCTCGGGGATGGTGGTCAGCCAGAAGCTGTACTTGTTGGTGTAGTAGTGGCACGTGCCGCGGGCCCCGTTGCACTCGATGAACGGTGTGGCGCGGAAGTCCTCCAGGCAGCTGCCCGGCGACACCAGCGACTGGCCGCCCCCTTCGTCACCGGCGGCCGTGTGCTGCGCGGGGGAGCGGGCGGAAGAGATGCCAACATGTTAGCTTGTTTGTTTTTCTTCCAAGGAAAAGTCAAACGAGGTCCTACTTTAGAGCACAGGGAACTCTGCACATTCTGTGATAAACCATCTTAGAAAATAATGTGAAAAAGAATGTGTATGCATGTATGTGTGATTGAGGCTTTCCAACTGTGGGGCTGGAGAACACTCTTGAGAGCCCCTTGGACTGCAAGGAGATCCAACCAGTCCATCCTAAAGGAAATCAGTCCTGGGTGTTCACTGGAAGGACTGATGCTGAAGCTCCAATCCTTTGGCCACCTGATGTGAACAGCCTACACATTGGAAAAGACCCTGATGTTGGGAAAGATTGAGGGCAGGAGGAGAAGGGGACGACAGAGGATGAGGCTGGATGACATCACTGACTCAGTGGACTTGAGTTTGAGCAAGCTCCAGGAGTTGGTGATGGACAGGGAGGCCTGGCGTGCTGCAGTCCATGGGGTCCCAAAGCGCTGACACGACTGAGCGACTGAACAACATATGTACGTGTAACTGAATCACGTTGCCGTATAGTGGAAATTAAGACAATGTGAGCCAACTATACTTCAATAAAATAAAGATAAAACCAGACTCTTAAAATCAATCACCAGGGAGTTCCCTGCTGGTCCGGTGTTTAGGACTCTGTGCTCTCACTGCCGAGGGCCCAGCTTCCATCGCTGGTTGGGGACCTAAGATCCCACAAGTCGTGCGGTGGGGCCAAAAAACAATTAAGCTCCAAAGAAAGTGCCCCTCTCCTCCTCCTTTACTAATGTGCATGAAGAGAGGGTATGTGTGCTTTGAATTATTATTACTACTATCACTGGCCATGTTGGTCTAGGCTGGCTGGAGGAGGTTACTGAGGATAATGGGTGTGCGCTAAGTCGCTTCAGTTGTGCAGTTGTGACCCCATGGACTGTAGCCTGCCAGGCTCCTCTCTCCATGGGATTCTGCAGGCAAGAAC